ACTCGGCTTGCCGAAGCCTTTGTCGCCCCAGTCGGGCCCAAGGAGCTCCTTGCCTTGCCCAATTCCCCGCAAGACCTTTTGCGGCTTTCGTCGCTCACTGAGTTGCCCAATGGCCACGCAACTGCACAACCCCCAGTAACTCCTCAAAACCCATCACCGCCCAGCCTATCCGAGCCTGAAGTTAATGGCGATGGAGATGGACGAGTACCTTTCCCATCCCTCAATGGACACCCCCCGACACCCTCCAAGTCTCCCGCCGTGACTTCTGGGTCAAGTCCAGAGACGGTGCCGGTGACTCCGAAGCGGAGAAAGAGTGTCCGATTCTCTCCCACTGTGGAATCTGCCACATACGACTTGTCGGACCCACCAAGTCCTCATCTAGGTTCCTTGCTGAATGGTCGAGCTGCCAATGGAAGCCCTCCAATTGCGGCTGCCCCTCTGCCAGAGCCTGTACAAACACGTCCCAGTGAGAAGCCAGACGCTCCCTGTGCAACGGAGAGTACAGAAAAAAAGGAAGTCGCAGACAAGGAGCACCTCCAGCTGAGCCCTGAAGAGGCTTTCTATCTAGTCTTTGCCTTGGGGGCCTTATCTGTCGTAGATCCCTCAACCGGCAAGCCGATGACATGTCGAGAATTGTTCAGCAAACTGCGGCAGTTATCTCTCCCTCGCGGCTCGACAGGTATGCGGCCGGATGATCCGTTCCTCGTACAGTATGCCGTCTACCACCATTTCCGATCTCTCGGCTGGGTACCTCGGTCAGGAATCAAATTTGGGGTCGACTGGCTGCTGTACATTGGTGGACCGGTCTTCTCGCATGCCGAGTTTGCCGTCATCGTGTTGCCTGCCTACACGGATCCTTACTGGAAGACGCATGAGCATGCGCCTCTGGAACGATCCTGGCATTGGCTTCATTCGGTCAACCGTGTCCAGAGTCACGCACTGAAGACGATGGTGATTGTTTACGTTGACATACCCCCGCCTACAGAGGACCAAGACCCATCTGCTTTGCTGCAGCGGTACAAGGTGCGCGAGTTCTTCATGAAGCGATGGCTTAGCAACCGTAGCAGATGAAGTGCAGTATGCTTAAGATGGAGCGTATGTATAAGCGTTGGGTTTGAATATAATATCAACTGCATTCATTCACCTGACCACTGATGCAACATGTGTGTTCCGTCAGAAATACTCGATATGTGATTGATGGTCAGACGTCACAGCTGGAGGGCCGTCATAGACAGGCGAATGATCCCGTCTCTGGATGGTGATGATATGTACAATTACTGCCTGCGACGTGCGTAAGTGAAGTTGAGAGAGCGGGTTTGGATTTCATCCAGGAACTGCTTGGCAAGGGTCCGTGAGTCTTTGACTTGCATGACTACTAAAGGCCACTTCAAGTTCTTCTACTAGGATTTGGGCAGGGATACACAATATGTCTACTTTAAGGAGGCTTAGAAAGAGTATTTCAGTCTTTGAAGCTTACGTTTCACTTGTTTGCCTGCAGGTGTAGTCTACTGCTGTACGTAATTAAGCTTTTGCCTGGTTGTGATCTTACTGCATCTAGACTTACTAACCTTGACGGGACTACCAATTCTACTAACTTAGATTGGATAAATATTTCCTTCCCCGATTTAATAAGAAGATGCTCAGTATCTCACTCCATCTTCTCAACTCAGCTTTCTCTCTCTTTAGAAAAACACACCAATCTCGATGAGGAGTAATCTGGTGATTTCCCCGGCGTCGTCTACGTTAAGGCTTCATTGCACTTCATATATCCCTCACCATGGCGACCAGCCATTCAACCGCGCCCCCGATGCGTGAGGAAGAAGAAGACGGCATTATGAGCGCAAGTGCAAGCGCAAGCGAGACAACACCCCTCCTCGCCTCTTCGACCGCGCCCGTGACCGCAGCAGGGGATCCCGAGGACGCGAAAGCCATCGTCACCTCTACCTCTTCACAACCCTCGAGCAAACCCCTTCCCAAACTGCAGATCTTCCTCCTCTGCTACGCGCGGCTCATCGAGCCCGTCGCCTTCTTCTCCATCTTCCCGTACATCAACCAGATGGTGCTCGCCAACGGGCACGGCTCGATCGCGGAGAAGGACATGGGCTTCTACTCGGGCCTGATCGAGTCCCTGTTCTCGCTGACGCAGATGCTGGTCATGGTCTTCTGGGGCCGGGCCGCGGACCGCGTCGGTCGGAAGCCCGTCCTCGTCTTCTCGCTCTTGGGCGTGGTCATAGCGACGGCGCTGTTCGGGCTCGCCAAGAGCATCACGCAGATGATCCTCTTCCGGTGCTTAGCGGGCGTGTTCGCGGGTACGATTGTTACGATCAGGGCCATGATCTCCGAACACAGTACCAAGGAGACGCAGGCGCGTGCGTTTTCTTGGTTTGCATTCGCTGGGAATCTGGGTATCTTGACAGGTCCGTTGCTCGGCGGCGCGTTGGCTGACCCGGCCGGACAGTATCCGGGGAGCGTGTTTGGGCGGATAGCGTTCTTTAAGACGTACCCGTACGCGCTGTCGAGCTTCGTGGTCGCGGGCGTCGGATTCACTGCTTTTGTGACGAGTGCCCTGTTTGTGGAGGAGACGTTGCATATCAAGAGGGCTTCTCCTTCTGCACCCAAAACCACGAGGAGTAGTGATGGAAACAGCGATGGCAACAACGAGGCAGCTTCTCAATCATCGAAACCTGCTGCCCCGACATCTACGCGCGCCCTCCTGCGCTCCCCGGGCGTGGGCATAGTGCTGTACAACTACGGCCACGTCATGCTCCTCGCATACGCATACACGGCCATCGTGCCCGTGTTCTGGTCGACTTCCGTGTCCCTCGGCGGGCTGGGCCTCACGCCTCTGCAGATATCGCTGTTCATGGGCCTCAACGGCCTGTCGCAGGCCATCTGGGTCCTCGTCTTCTTCCCGCCGCTGCAGCACCGCATCGGGACCAACGGCGTGATGCGCGCGTGCGGGACCGCGTACCCGGTCTCCATGGCCGTCATGCCGTGCCTGAACGCGATCCTGCGCCTCGGTTCACCGGCGAGCAAGACGGTCTTCTACGTCTTCGGATCGCTGCTCTGGCTCGTCTTCCCGGGCGTCAGCATGGCGTTCACGGCCGTGCAGCTCGCGCTCAACGACGTGAGCCCCTCGCACGAGACGCTGGGGATGCTGAACGCGCTCGCGCTCACCCTCATCAGCGGCCTGCGGTCCTTCTCCCCGGCGCTCTTCGCCAGTCTCTTCGCCCTAGGGGCCGGAAACCAGCTCCTGGGCGGCTACTTCATATGGCTTGTCATGACGGTCCTGGCGGCTGGGTTCACGGTCGCGACGAGGTTCTTGCCGGAGGCGGGGGAGGATGCGGTTGAGGGGGAGGAGGAGGGGGCGTAAGATATATATGTACCACACAGCTTGCTTTCGGAGTAGAAAGGTAGAACTTAAGTGAATATAGATAGATACCCAAGTGTATTCAGAGGCTTCGGATTGAGTTCTAGGATACTGCGAAAAGACGAGAGAAAAGATGTATAATGAAATCCAATTTTCAAGAACGCCATTCCCAGTAAACGCAACGCAACGCATAGCAAAATCAAATAAATACCTGTCAGCTCCCGCCGTGAGGGACTGTCTATGAAAATACAGTTCAGTCTTAGAGGCAGAGGGACTTGCTTGATATGCCTCACATAATAATAAGTACCATCGTTACCACACCCATCTGTCAGGGTCCAGTACCCTTTTTTCATGATGTTCAGAATGCGAGGATGGGCATGTTCTTACCAAGTTTAGTTTGCAAGGACGCGACTAGACAAGCTGAAATGGAGTAATATATAAAAACCACAGCCAGGACGATAAGGATGAGGAAAAAGAAGCGGCAAGAGAGAAAATCAAATATGCTGTCTTTAATTTCTCTAACCCCGGTCTCTTTCTTTCCCCTTTTCTCATTCTCGCCAAAACATAATATTAAACTAACAACCTGGTGAATGAACCAGGGGACACTTTACCAAAGCCTAGTTAGTCTAATTTTCGGCACACACACACCTATGCCTCAAACAACAGGGGGCAGTAAATAGATAGATATAAATCTCAAGGGTTGTTCGTGACTGAGAACCTTGAATCCCCCACTCACGGAAAAGGTTTATACATACATACACTTTTGTCTCTACCGATAGGATATAATTTGATATTTGTCTACCCGTAGTGTAAAATGTTTGGAACAACACTTTTTTTTTGTGTATAGAGTGTAAACAAACTCCCTAATCTGGGCTCCATCTAGTCCATTCACTGCCTTTTGGTCAAACTCAACCTCAACCTCTTCCGCAAAGGGCTATCGCACGCGCTCGTATCGTAACATCTCTTCTCCACACCTCGTATAATCATCACTCTGACCAGTGTCATGAGCATCGACATCGTGCTAGGTTAAAGGTATTCATGTTTTACCCTTTGAACGTCAAAATCCTTAGCCAAGGAAAGTATCCGTGTCGTAAACTGTTACTGCTATCCAGAGCTTTCGATGGGCTTCTACTGAGGAAACCCATCAGAATCTCCTCCCGGGTACTAACAACACTAACCTAGGAATGGAAGAGAAGTTGAGTGAGTGAGTGGCCATTAGGTTAAGCCTTTAATGCAGCCTACACACAAGTGTCAAAAAACCTCAATACGACCCAGCTTTCCAGGGCGGCCGGGCCAGTTTGCATTTTAAATGTATGTATGTATGTGCTGCTGCATGCAAACAAACAAACCAGCAGTCTCCCTTCCCCATCCTCACCGAGCTTCCTACGGACCTGACCTTCCCGCTACAACCAATTATCCAGGCGCACGCGCACCTGATCTGGACGGAGGAAATCAGTATCTAAAGCGTAGCACCGCCGTTTTCCGAAAACAAAAATACTATCGAAATACCCAAGTGCAAATGGCAATACCCATTAAAACCACAAACCAAAAAATGGGAAAGAGCACCGACATCCAGACAAATGCAGACCAAGAAAAATAAATTTGCAAAATGTATAACATATAACATATATGTCCTCGGTGAGGCTCGAACTCACGACCTTTGGATATCCCAATCTGTGATTGGATCATATAGAGATATGAGACCAACGCTCTAGCCAACTGAGCCACGAAGACAAGTTTTCAATTGGTTGAGTGAGTGCCTGCGTGTCATAACATAAGACGCCAACCTAACTTTAAGAAGTGGGACACTGTGCGGCGCAGTGGATGTGGTTGGGATGAGTTGGTGGACATGGAAAATGGAGAATGAAAAGGTTTAGGTGCAAAGGATAAAGGATGGGGACACGGGAATGGCATACGAAGAGGAGGAAGGGGATAATTAATTTTTTCGCGAGACGATTTTGATGGCTTAACCTAACGAACTGTGTGGTTGTTGTCATCTGTAAAGAAGGTGACCTTAGATAGCATATTGTGCACTGTGGCAAATCCCCCCAAAGGGCAAAACCACGTTGAACACCTCCTCAAGCGGGTTCAAGGAGAAGTGCACTTTGATGTCAAGAAATGTAACTACATTAACCTAGGCTAGGTTCTTCTGTGACATTTTCAAGTCACCTTTTCGATGTGTAAAGCAGTTCTTGTAGTGAATCTGTCCTGGATCCTGTTAAGACAAAATAGAGACAGGAAAGCCAGCTGACTTCCTCTTCACTCATTGCCAGACTCCAACCTCTTAAACTCTATAGCAAGAGGTTGCCATTCACTTTTCTTATACCTTATGCTATTTATACATGCAGTATCTGGAGTACTTGTCTAACAGCAAAGAAGAGCACATCTCAAAAGTGTCATCCACCATACAGGGGTCACCACCTCAGCCAACACCTCCCACCCTCACCATGGCCATCTAGACTAGATATAACCCACAACAAACCATCAACCGTCACGTACGACCATAGGATGTAGAAAACGCGGGGTCCCGTCCGCTCCCCCATAGCTAAGCTACATACCGCCAGATCAGTAGTTGGGTCGGTGACGACCAGCGAATCCCTGGTGTTGTACGTTTTTTCTTTTTTTTTTTCTTATTCTAACTTAACCCACACTCCTCCTTTTTTCACACATCCTCTTCTTTTTCTTCCATTATCTGCAAGTCTTTCCAACGCACCCCCCACCCCCCCCCCCAACCATAGAATCATCGCACATCATCCCCAACAAGTCGACTCCACGTCCCCCTCTTCGCAGCTCCATTCATCCTCGCCTGCGCTTGCGCCTTCGCAAACCTCTTCCGATTCGTCTCCGGGATATGATACTCATCCCACCCCCCATCCCCTACTCCCACATCATCATCATCGTCCTCTTCCCTCTGCATCCTGACCCTGCCCCAGAAATCGTACCCCCTCTCCCTCTTCAGGTCCCTCTCCCGGACCTCGCGCAGCCGCTGCCGCCGCCTGCGTCTCGTTTCCGACTTCTTCGATGATGATTTCTGGTCCCGCCGCCGCTGCAGGCGCGTCATCTGCTCCCTCGCGTGCTGGGCGCCAGATCGGAGCATCCGGTGCGTCGATTTCAGCACCCCTTGGACGCGCCCGCTGAACGCGGCTACGAGCGTTAGTGCTATGACGAAAGCTGATGCAGGGACTGTTTCACTTTGCTGTTAATAAAGTAACCTGATCTTTGAAGACGGCTGAGGAAACATATAGATAGTTGAGGGTAGAAAAAGAGGGAGGGAGGCAAGGGCAGGAAGACTAACGAGAAATAGCCCCAATGAGCTTCAAGCTGACGAAATGCTCCGAGTCGCCCCATTCGCGCGTGTTCATGCCGAAGAGGCTCGTGAAGAAGCTCAGTGGCAGGAAGATGACGGTGAAGGTGGTGAAGATCATGACGGACAGGTTCTGCGAGCTCGCGAGCTCCGTCTGCAGCCTCGACCAGCGGACCTCGTCCACTTGAGCCTGGCGCTGTATCATTTCTTGGAGTTTCTCGTACTGTGATTTGTATCGTCAGCTTTATCTTTCTCTCTTTCTCTGATCATGGAAATGGGAATCAGGAAAGGGGGAAAAGATAGGTAGATACTCACATCCTTCCTCGTAGCATCGACACGCGCAAGCATATCACGCGCCTGCTTCCCATACTCGTCAAGCCGTCTCAGCGCCTCTTTCAGATAATCTCTCCCGCACTCCGTCAAAGACGCTAGGCCGGGGCCCTCGTAACTCTTCTTCATCTCCTTGATCGCGCCCTGCTGCTCCGTGAACAAGTTATTCAAGACGTGCAGTTCATCTTCCATATCTCGAAGTTCCAACATAGCTGACGTGTTCTCGCGGTTCTGTCGCTCGGCCCGCTCGAGTTCGCGCTTGTGCCGCTTCTTGATCGCCTCGGGGGAGTTGTCCGCGTCTTCCGAGTCGGACCCTTCGTGGATCTTGTTATAGGATTGCATGCGGAAATCCTTCAAGGCTGAGGTCATTTTCTCCGTCTGTTATATTTATTTCATTTAAAGCTCATGTCAGTAGGTTCTCCTTTACATGAGCCTAGCCTAGTTCGAGGCCCGTCGGAGAACATGTTACGTACAAGAATCCCGAGAGCTTCCTCAAAGATGCGAAAGACTTCAAGATCGGGATGGGACGCCCGGTCGAGGAGGACCGTTACCGCATGCAGCGTCACAAAGGCGGCAAGGTCGAGCGCGTTGTCGCATCGCCCAGTGAGGTCACCGTTGAGTTCGTTGTAGATGCTATTACGCAGATCCGCTTGCTGGAACATGGGGCCTTCGACCGGGTAAGACTCGCGTTTGGGGAAGAATGTCGCCAACGTGGCTACCTTAGTCAGCAACACGGCATAACTCTCGACCTCTATAGTGGCACTCACTGGTATCGACGGCCCAAAGCCACAGTTGGTCTACCATCAGCACATTGCCATTTATGAGATCGTCTTCGAGCTCCTCTTCATTCTCATCCTGGTCAGACTCGAACCCGTCGGCCTTGGTCAGCTTGTCTGCCGTAGAAGGAGCGCGACTCGATGGCGATACGGCGCTGAGCGGATCTTCGCCAGTGTGGTACATATCGCGCTTGCGCTTCAGCGGGTCGCCCAGTCCCTTCTTGGTGAGTTTGTACAGCATCTGATCATCGTCTCGTGCCCGGGTGTCTAGTAGAGCTGGGTATCCGTACTGGTCCAGTGTCCTCCGCCCATTAAGCGGGGGATCATGTCCAATAAATTGCCAGATCATTCGACACTCTAGGGACTCGAGCTCTGCAATGTCTCTCGGCACCGGTCTAGCTCTGCCATGCTTCATCCTCCGCCTGATAATGTTGCGACGTCGGACAATGTTTACGTACGTGTCGTAGTGGAGGTATGGAAGGTAGAGATAGAAATGAGCGGGTGACGCGTTGGGGCTCACGCTCCTATTGGATCCGCTTGGGGAGCTGGGACGAGGGGAGCCTTGCATACATGTTAGCATTTACGGCAATGACAGAGTAAGACATATAATTCCGACCTGTTTCTGCTGGGACAAAGGCACAGCCCGGCTTCACGTAGGAAACATGCCAGTTAGCATGCCTTCCTTGAACATGCTTGCTGGCCCAGTAGTCGTTATTCAACAGTTTTGAATAGCTTCTATTCTGTGACTCGGATAGCTTGTCGAAGATGCTCTAGAACAGAATTAGTAGAAGGTCAGATATCCAATCCTTTGAGGAGACTTGACTACCTTTACCCACTGAGGGTTATTAAACGGTAGATGAATCCACATGAACTTTCTTTTGGATGGGTTTGGCCTGGAGAACCCAGCTGTGAAGTCCTGAAATGCAGAGGCACGCCTTGAACTGTCTCTGCGGCTCGTCCGCGACACATCGTCTCCTCCAACTCCGACACGCGCACGTCCATCAGCAGCCTGATCATTCTCATCCGCATTAAGAACACCATGAGAGGTTCTATCCGGCGCTACAGGTTCGGACCGCGTGCTGGCCTCACTTCTGGCGCTTTCGCTGCTCCTTCGGTGGGGCAGCTGATTGAAGAGGGGTGTGGTCAATGAGGGAATAGTAAGACCTCTGCTTCGCCGCGGCGCAACGTTCACAGCCGGTAAAGGGTCAGAGGTGGTGCCTGCAAGAGAAGGCCGCCTGGACGCGTGACTCGTCACTACAATCTCCGGAGACGTCGTAGAGCGGACATCAGGGTCTTCGGGTGTACCGTCCGAGTGCGACGAGCCGAGGATCCGATGGCCTAGCTCTTGTACATTGCCCCAGAGCCCTAACGCCCGATGAGTCCTGGAAGGACTGGGGCTTATGCGTCTCGCTTGAGGGAACGTAGGTCGCCGTGTCTTTGCAGCCATCGTGTTCAACCGCTCGCGCAAGCAATTTTCCGGCCCTTTCTCGAGGAACTCTTTGAGGTAGTGCTTGGACACGTAAAGCCTGATGCTGTGATCCGCATCGTCATCTTCATCGTCGTAGAACCCTATGAGCTCAACTTTGACCTTCTGGGTCAGTTTCAGCGGCGTATGCACATATAGTGAACTTAAGACCTCTGCCTTCCGCACGGCAGCCCCCAGGTCGCACAGGTACGAGTGCATAATCTGCAAGTTCTGAGGTCCAAACGATGCGCAGTGGGCATGGTCGCTCTCTAATGACAGGGCAATCTCTCTCCTTGTCCCAATGAGGCCCGACTTGATCGACGTAATGGGAGCACTAAAGTGGACCTCATCGTACTCAGTGTTGGCAAGCCCGGAAAGCTGCGAATCGACGGTCTCGTAGAAAGTCCATATTCGGATGTCGCTGGATATCTCGGTGAACTTATCGTGTAGCCTCATCAACGGCTTGCATCCCAAGCGTAGCTCATCCGTGATAGATCTCGGGAGTGGCTTTTCCAAGAACAGCAAGTTCTGAATACTCATTCTGAGACCAGGCATCGACAAATAGCTAGAGCCGCGGTGGGGGGTTGCTGTATCGGGGATCAGTAAAGTCATAGGTCCAAACCCATGACGAGAAAAACTCACCGAAAAACGTGATTCCATGGCAATCAAATACCAACGACTTGAGATTTTCATCTTTCCGTGCTTTGACGAGAGCCGACTTGACAACCAATCCGCCTATGCTGTGACATATGAAGAAAAGCGGCCGTGCTCTTGTCAAGCCCTCCCGCATCTTGACCAGTTGCGCCAGAAGGTCATCAGCGGCCCCTTCGACGGTCATGCCCTCGTGTAGCTCGCGATG